AGAAAATACCTTACATACAGTACAATATAACCGAAATTTATTTTAGTTCGAATATTGCAGCAAAACATTTGCATTGAATCACAGAATTTTTTGAAGTTCCAATTGCTTTACTGTAACAAGGTTTTACAGCGGATAACAAATTTTGAATATACTGAACGAATGCAGCAGAGGAAAGGTTTTTAAAAATTGGTAAACCCCTATAAAAAGTTGCACAACAAATTATTCAGACTAAAAACTGCATGTATCTAGTGGGATCTCAGCTAAAATGTAGGAATTCGATCCATTGTTCGATTTATTTGTCATCTGAAATATTCATATAAAGCTGAAAATATTTTCATAATTATAGCTTTTCAAAAACGCATAAGTTGGCAACCTTTTCTTTAAAATCTTGGGTAAAATTTGAGAAAAACTGTATTAAAAATGATTCATTCCCGCGAAAGTGCAAAATTCAGTACTCGCACTTTTCTGCTGGGAAGGATATTCAGACTTTAAAACCCAAAACTGCTGCCATTATATTGCACGATTTCTCTGACTCTCGATCGGCACCGAAAGCGAATTAATCTTGAAATCAAGGTCATAATTTGTAGAATGTGTGTATATATTACACAGCCATTTTGTTCACAGCGTTTTTTGCAGCGGTTGGGCGATACTCACGTCACCGGTTAGTCTTCAGATTCATGCGGAATTGGCAACGGAGTTTTCGCGACGCTTCGAAGAAGCTGTTCTCGACGTCGTTGACTCTTTCTCAAACAGGAATCGACTCAAAAAAATCAACTTCCTGCCGCCAGGTAATTCCCCAATTTTAATCCTTCCGAATTTCATGATTTGTATATATTTCATATTTCAAGGAAATAATAACCAAAAGGCGTCATAACATTTGACTTACAGAGGTGTGAGGGAAAACTATTTTGAGTTAAGGAGGTTTTTAATTCAGTACATTGTTTCTATGGGAATCCAGATGACAGGGACTTGAAACAAATTCGAGTTAGGGAGGTTTGACTTAGCAAGGTTCACCTGAAACAGACTTCATTACTGAACAGTTGATCAATTTATTATGCTGAAAAAAATTCCTGTGGATTGGCAAAAAAAACAAAAACAACAAAAATTCTGCAGACCAGCGCTGGTCCGCGGACCACGGGTTGCAGATACTGTAATATTGTCGATAAACTCTGTCATTTGCCGTTTCTAGTGCAAATGCACAAATCCATGCCCGGCGATGTCTCCCCAAGGATGACTGCCAAAAATATTGGCGAAGTCGGTGGCGCCATTTCACGCCGAGGCAGTTGCAAATACGAGGCTCCCGAAGACATCGACATTGCTCTGGATGAATTGAGGAGATTGTATCGAAGATTTCGCGGACACTACGAATGTTTGAATGGTGTCAACAGTCTGCAATTAGCAGTCACTTACATTTTCACTTGCTGCATCGCCATGTCAGCGTCGTATTCCGCCATCAACGTGACATTTTCAGGTGCTATAACGTTAATTTCATATATAATGCCCGTGAAAATATTAAATTAGCGAACAAACAGTAAAAATATTGAGATGAATGTGTCGTGTAAGAACCTTTTTCATATTATGAAGAATTTTATCGAAGGTCTTGATGCTGCTAGAAATTCAAATGCAGCAGAATCAGTGTTGAAACAATCTTTTCATCCAGATGTAATTGAAAAAATTATGATATTTTTTGCCATTTCCCCAAGTTTTCGGAGCAATTATCGGAATTTCCGCTTTGCGTCTATTTTTTTCTTCCCTAAAATGACGGAAACGGGTACAAACTTCGGTTAATAAAAAATATCTCCAACTAAAATTACTCAATTAAACCATTAATGGATCTAATACTGCTACCGGCAAGGAAATGAAAATTTACCTGGATGAAATGTTACGACGCAATCTTTTTTCTCTATCTTTAAGGGGTAAAGGGATTGAAAGGTTTATTGCGAAATTTTCACGACCCCCCCCCCCTAAAAAAAATAAATCCCCTCACGTGAAACCAGAAATGGGTTTTTAACGTTTTTCAATCTTTTACTTGGAAGGATGTGAGCAAAAACAAAATTCTATTTTGCATACTGTGTTTTAAAATTTTACAGGAAAGCTGTAATTTGTCATGACAAGAGTCTTTATTTTTTCACATATTCCCCCTAGCCTAAAAAAAATTAGTAAGTTGAAAGAAAATTCAGAGACATACCTGGGAAAATGCCGAAGTTTTACAAGTCCAGCAGAACGCACAGCACGCACTAAAAAATAAGTTCGCAACATTTGCGACACATTTGGCAACACAATGCAAATTATATGAACTCTTCGACTTTTTTTTACACGATATATAACGCTCACACTGGCAACTTTTTCTCGTCATCTTTCAATTAATAATTGCCATTTTGAGGCACTCGAAAGTTGATCGCTCGCTTTTCTGTATACACCAGTTAAAGCACACGATCCCGTTTACATTACGTCTCAATGGCTGGCAGCTGGAAGCTGCATCGGTACTCTCGTGTACATCTGTGAACTAGGACAGTACATCGTTAACAAAGTAAGTACCCGGAACGAAAGTACAATTAATATTTACGGATGTAATTTGTTGCACAAATTAAAAGGTCTTCCCAGCAAATAATTAGGCGTTTTGAAACACGTGGCAAATGCGTTCCATGCAGAAATTGCCATGCATTTCATGCCCTTTCTAGTTACGCCTACTCAGGGCCTTGGATAGTGCATTTCATTTAGAAACGCCTGCCTGCTACAATAAAAAGAAATGCATCAAAAATTTTAAAATATAGGTGTAACAATAGAATGCATTACAAATGCATTCCCAATGCATTGCACAAAACTTTTTCAGTACACAACCAATGAAAAAAAGGAAACTAATATTTTTAAACATAGGTGTAACAATAGAATGCATTACAAATGCATTCCCAATGCGTTGCACAAAACTTTTTCAGTACACCACCAATAAAAAAAGGAAATTATAAAGGCATATCAGAAGAAGCTGGGCATAACAGTTATGCATAACAGTTATGCATAACAGTTAAGCATAACAAATGCGTGAGGTAATGCATAACTGTTACACCCAGCCCTTCCTGTAACAAATTATTTGCTGGGTTCCTCTATAGCACCAGAAAGCCACATTTGCATTAAAAATTGATACGGGATGAACACATCAGTATATTATATGCACAGCATATACATGCAATTTCTTGCATTAAGAGGGGTTTGTATTTGAGATATTTAATGTAAGCCGAATTTCCGGTTCTGAATATTTAATTTTCTTTAAAAATTCAGCTTGTATTCTTCACTCCTTGAAAAAAATAAAAATTATGCATAAAAACAACTTTAGAAACATAATTTTTAGAGCAGATTAAAAAAAAATCGAATCGAGTCCGTTTCCTATTCAGCAACAACCGAACTCGATTCAAACGTGATGCAATTATTAAATATAATATTAAAAATACACCTGAAAATATAGTCCTTCAATCAAAACACCAAATTTATACGGAAATTAACGCAGGGCTGAATGGTGATATTTCACGGCGTGTGACGCTATGGGTTTATTCGAGAAATTATGAGGCCGAGTCGAATTTCCATTTTCGAATGCATAATGTGTTCTTGAAAAAGCTCATAATTCACCGCCTCCAAAAATATTTTGGTAGCTTTGACCGTTAAATTTTTTAAAAACTGATTTTGGTCATCGACAGGCTCCTTCAGCAACAACTGGACTCGATTCGAACCTGACAGAATTATCAGCAGCAGGATGGGCTCAGGTCGGTCATCTAAAATTCAAAAGTATTGAAATCACGCCAGTTCCAAACATTTTTAAAGTTCCAATATATCGAAACAGTTGAACTCCTTCTACTGCCTTTATAGGGTCTTAGGGAACTTCCGCTGGTATAAGGTCACGTACTGCGACTTGTCCTTAGATGAGCACTGGCATCCAGTTTGAGGCTGCTTAAGCAATAAACTATGCTTAAATATTATAGTATTATTGTCTAACACTTTTTTTTTAGGGATTCACGACCATTGCGACCTACTTGATTGTTCTGATTCAGTTCAGACTGATCAACCCAAAGCTTGAAAATTTGAATTCTATGCGACGTTTTCATAAATATTAGCTTGAAAATGTGAATTACAGTGTATGGAATCTACGCGACGTTTTCAAATATGTTATTGTATTTACATGTATCATTTATACTTTCAACGGAAAATCGATAGCTCGATTTCCCAACCGAATAACCTGCAAATATTTTCCTGTGCTAACAATATAATCAATCTGTCACAATTATTGTAACTGGGTCATAGTTGCCAAGTTATCACTGAGGTTCTATTCGTCTGAACAAAAGAAAAGAAAAACATACCGTTACGAATTGATCCATGCAAATGACAGCAGGAATAATAATGCGGTCAGTCAGTTATATTGATCATACGCCCCCTCATTGTTTTAAAGTAATTGCTATGACCCATAATTATTGCCAAGAGCTACATTTTTAGGAAAATTAAAATAAAATACCGATACACTAATCAGAAATGTCTGCAGAAATCTGGAATTAAATTGTTTTATATAAGGAGGGAAATCTGTTGAGTGTGGTATACTTTTCGTTAGTACAAAATTAAATAAACTTAACTACAGATTTCTAAAGAAATTTTTCGTTATAGTACCAGACTGTTTTCTTTTTTACTTTACTTTGAAACCGTTCCGCTAGCAAAAAAAAATTGCGATCGCATCTTTTGTGCCCTCAACAACAGAATCTATGTTCCAAGTAATACCTTTTTACTAGGATATATTAATGAAATCTATTATTACTTCACGCATTTTCTTTTTCCTGATTCCAGGATGAAGCGTCAAAAGAATTTGAAAACTGGATTTTGAAGGATGATGAGTTTCTTTTATTTCCGTCCGCACATTAATTGAATACAAGTAGTGTACTGTATATTATTTTACAAATATCATCTGACAAGTTTATTGGGGCGATTCGTTCAAGTACATACAGTACTTGAAAACACAAATTTTGCTCGCATATAAATTTCAGAATATTACTTGAATCATTCGAGGCGTTTGACCGATGAAATTCCTGTTGAAGATACACATTCTCGAGCAGAAAAATAAAATTTCTCGCTTTATTAGAATCACGAAACGAAAAAAGCATTTTCGAGTCAAATACAGTATCACGCTTATTCAGACAGAAGCTCAATATCATGGACAGATTGTCACGCTTTTCAAGCCTTCACAAAAACAAAGTCAACGTTGAGTTCCTTGTGCAAATTATATCCTGCTGAAATCATGCGATTGTAAATCCGAATCGGCGTCTCACCTTGGCCTTTTTCCACCATGATCACCTACGATGGATGATGAATACTTTTTAATGCAACTTTCAAGAACATGAAAGCAATTCTCGAGAAAAATAATGAGGAACGATTACAATTTTTGCGCCCTCAGTTTAAATGTACTACTGCATAAAAGGAAAAAAAAAAGGAATCTACGGGTTCGCAAATTTTTAGGACAGAGTCCACCGAAACAAGCTTGATACAATAAAACAGAATTGAAGAGAAAATCTTCATTATACGTGTTGAGATTTACTCGATTGTTACCAGGGACTTGAGCAAATTCCTTCATTTCTCTTTGACATTATCAAGACAACTTTCCCACATTCAACATAATCATCAATGACTCAAAAATTTGCGAGATACCAGAAAGATTGTTTCAGTTGAACATGACTTTCAGATCTGATCCTGTAATTTATGAACAGGAAGACTAATAATCGATAGTCCGAATTATTGTTGTTGGTGGAATGAATTATTGACTGATTTTATGAAATCATAAAATATTCTGATACTGCATCACGTAGCAGGTAGATTTTTCTTCTTTGGAAAGATATTGGGCATATTTTCTTGCCATTGTCTCCATATTTCAAGTAAAACTAGGATGATAAAAAATTTTTAATTTTGCCATAATAAATTATACAATTTTACCCCGTATAATGGGCATCTCTCGAAAAATAAATTTTTAGAACCAAGCTTTTCAGTCACACAATAGACCATATGCTAAATTAAGCTTTTGTCCTTCGAAAAATCATAGAAATTCCTGATGCCATCAAAAATGTACGGGTTTATGAGGGAATTTTTATACTCAAGAAATCCGTTGAATGTTTTCGCGTGCATTTATTATACCGTATAATGAAATCGCGAGAATACAATTTTTATGAAATTTAATCGAGACTGCACAAATGGAAATGTTTCAAGAATAAATTGTGGAATGGCTTATACATTTAATATTCAGATTATAATACAGTAATTGAAATTGCAACTTTAGGGATATCTCGAAAAATTCAGCGATTTTAGCACAGCTCCACAGTTTCTGAATGATAGACTTTTCGCAGAAAAATATAAGCTCTGTAAACTCTGCTGCACCACTTCAACGCATCATCTGAAATCCTCAACAACCCCTCGAAAATATTTCGATTTTTCCCTCGGAAAAAATCTGACTCGACTGCTCGACTTTAGAAAACTAGAAAAAAATAAGGCAAAAATTAGCAACTCACCCTGACGTCAACGCGATGCCACGGAAAGTTTTGCACGATATCAGCATCGGCCCCTTCCGTGTCTAGGGATAGAAAATCCACTCGGGTCCTATTTAAGGACAGGATTAAATCGGCAAGTGGAAGACAGAACACTTCAATTATGTTTTCATGGTTTCCGGGTAATGTAACGTTGAAAATCGGCTCCGTCAAGGGAAAGAAGGACGACAGTTCTGGAGCATCAACGTTTTCAATAAATTTTACCTGCATGGAAAATGAAAAAAATAGAATATTCAAATTTGCGAATTCTGAATACCGATAAATAAAAAAACTGAGCCCAGCAGCATTTCCATTTTTTCTGACGAAGACATTTTATGGGCCGGGACAAAATACATCTGTTCTCGTTTTCTGCCGGTTCCCATTAAAAATAATGAAAACGGAATACAAAATAAATAAATACAAAATACTAGAATACAAATGATGAATCGACATTTTGATTCATGGTGAATTGAATTTAATATTTATACACTGTACAGGCAAAAATTGTACCTGCGCATGAAGGAGACGTTTATATCGACAATGATTAGTCATCGGAAAAATTCTTACGTAAAGCAGCAATGATTCAATCAGATGGTCGGAATTCCTAGACTCACGTGCTGCTCTTGATGATTCGATCGACTGACGCATGCGTTGGCTGTCCAACATTTCCTTCGCTTAGTCACTAAATTCGAATAACTGCGTTTCCCTGGTTCAATCAACAATCCTGTCCAGCCTTTTTCTCGTTCCAGCCAGAGGGTATTGCTGAATTTCTCGCCGTCCAACGCTCCCACTTCCACAAAAAACTTATCCTCCTTCAAATGAAAAGAGGGCTCAGCTGTGACAGGATGATTACTGTACCTCATTCATACTGAAATCGATATCCTTTACTGTAATTTTTAGATTCGTTCTTGACATAGATGGAAAATCAGAATTTTTCAAAAACATGTTTTGCACAAATTTCAAAATAAAAAATACAGTATTATCCACCTTCCTAAAAAAAATTAAAAATCAGTATACAGTATTCTTCATTTTCTCCTAGCAGATGTAATCAAATGGATAAAATACAGTCAGGCATCTTTATTTAACTCAAATTATTATTTAGCCCCCCCTCCTCCTGTATTTCCATATGAAAACAGAGTACTGTACCAGAAACTCCTTCATTCTTCAAAATTTTACAACCGTGGACCTCTTCAACTTTAAATTTTCAAAAACATTATTGAAGGCCAATAAGAAATTTGATTAGTACTGCATTATATTAATTTTGGAAAGGAGGTGAGCTGAAACTTAAAATTTGATAAATAAAATCTTGAATTGAGGCTCATGCAGCAGAGACAGGAATAAAACGAATTTACTTCACAATCGAAATTCGTCAGCCCCAATAATAAGGTTGTAGCAAAAACTTTCTGTCCCAGTTTGCCCAGCTCAAACCTTTCGCAGTTGTATTTACTTTCTAGTCCGATACTCATGAATGTGACATCAAGACGACTAAGGTCAAAGTCAAACCAATTATCTGACCATTTGTTACTCGATATGCAGGGTGGGACAAAAAAAAAAGTGAAAGGACTTGGGACCATGCAATCTTATACCACTTGAAAGAGAATCACACAAGTGTTCATTTGTTGTTTTTTATTGCCACAGCTCAATTTGCTACTGAGCTATTTCAAGTCAAAAATTGTTATTGGCCAGCAGACGAATATATTAATGGCCTAGCTCTGAAACAGGATATTGATGACATGAATTGATTTTTGCCAAAAAATGTGCACATTCTTTGCATGAAAAAATACATACCTCAACCTTGAATAGCTCCTCCAAGACTTCACGCTGATCCAAAAATTGCGAAAAATGGATAGAATTTGGTGATTCCAATTTATAACATCCAACTTCACAAGGAGGGGCAATGTTAGAAGCGATCTCGTCCAGCTTCATCAGTCTGTCATCATCACCAACTCTAACTAAATGCACGGACTCTCCTTTTTTCTAACTTCGACAAAATTTGAGAGATTTTTCGTAGACTGAAAATAAAACCGGAACTAACCTACAAAAAAGTTCCCCAAAAGCGTCACACCTGTCAACGCGAACACTGAAAACCCTACGAAAACCGCTATCTTGCGATTAATCCCTAGGCCACGCATGATCCCTAGAAGATTCTAACAGATGCCCTCAGAAATCAGGGAAAACACAAAATTAGAGATACGAGTTCAGAGAATTTAAGACAGAGAATTTCAGAGAATTTGATAAAGAGGAAAAAAAACTTAGAAAGGTCGACTAAGGAAAGCATTCAAGAAGCGTAATCCTTGTTACAGTGAAATTATATTTGCGCACATGGGTTGAATCAGATTTGTAAGAACATAGAAATGATCCTTAAACTGCCTGAGTTCCCGAGACGGGAACTTTCTAACACCCCGTGAGATTATTCAGGATTTAACTCTTAAATCAAGTCCTTGTTTACGCAGTAAGGAATTTACTTCGATTACTCAGTCTTAATTTTGGTGACATTTTTCCTCTTGAACTGACAATTGGCACATTGAAAACATTCACATGGTCAAAAATATCTTCACATTCAGGCATGACTGTAAGGCGGAAGATTTTTCAATTACTCAAGCACTGTATAACCATGCAAGTGAAAATAAGTGCATTGAAGGGAATTTTTGAAACGTGCATTAGTCAAAATAAGGATTTGAATTGACTTCCTATCGTAGCACGAGTGACGGACTCACAGCATTGAAATTCGTGACGCACCGAATAAATTGTAATAATTTTCCGAAACAAAAATGGCGTACTTGTCAATGTATTTAGACTTGTCTGTTCAGCTGAGCCAATCCTGAATTGGGCTCGCCGCTCACTCAACGCAGCACAATTTGAAAACTTAATTCATACTCATGTGGCTCAAAGACACGCTGATTTTTTGCACATCAAAGTGTACACGCAGTGAAAATAAAGGAACAAAACTGATCTGAAGATATTCGAAGTTCTCGAGATCGGATGTAATTCTTGCCTCTCGAACTCAAGTTTGTTCGCCCAATACACGTGCGTCACCACCCATCTCACGAATAGTTTAAGGCACCGACAGAATGATTATGAGGAAAATGACACAAAAAAAAGCCCGCATTCGACCACAAAAACTTCCCATCAAAACGTGGATTCACCCAACAGTGAAATCGACGTCTCCGTAACGCCTCTTTTAAAAAGAACACTGAAAGTCAGGCCCGCTAGTCACGCACCTACCGGAGGAGTCGAAATTCCGCGACTGGACAAATGAGCGCATCCCAAAACGGCGAAAAAGAAAAACAGTAGCGCATTGAAATCTGCGTAAGTATAGTACTTCAGGAACACGATGACCTAAATGAAAAACATATTTCCGCTCTTTTAAATCTGAATTTCCTGGGGCACACTAATTATGACGGCGAACTTGAGTTCGCGTTCGAATCAGGGCTTTTCTTGACTGTGCCCTTTCCGGACGCGCTCAATCGCCCGGACACGGTCGAAATCACAGAAGCAATACCGAGAATCAGCAATCAAGAGTACAGAGGCGAAAGTACAAAATTCTTATCAAAATCTTCACTATGGCAAGTACGCACAGCGATCTTTCGAACTCATAAGCAGCAATAAAACACTCAGTTGCACGACCGCTGAAGCATACGACAAACATGAGCAGGAGCCTCTCATGGCGATGAGATTATTACCACCCATGCTTCTGCGCGAAACAGGCGCTTCGAACACAACAATGGGCGTGCCAAAGATGAAAAGAGGATCTCAAGATTGTGGCCGATCAATGGTTACAGTACAGTTTTTGAAAGAACATTAGCCGCGGCTCATTTGTCGGCGAACTTAATCTTAAGTTCTGGCGAATGTTTAATAACGTGCATCGAAAAATGTCAGAAAATAACGGTGTAGACCTCAACATTGCGCCGATTAATAAATGAAAATACGACAGATTATGATACTCAGGCAACAAAAAATTGAATTCGTGACGGAGATAATTTCGTTTTGAGTATCATAAAAAATACGCCGGAGCAATAAAAAAATTCGTTGGATGCATAATATTGCAGTGAAAAAATATGAGTCTACCGGCATCTCCTCAAAACAAATGATAACGCAAAAAATCGAAATAATTGTTCAACTAAACTAATTTTCCGGTAAACACACTCTACAGTAATATTAAAATTACCGAATACTTATTTTAAAAAATTAATACATGGTGTCTCACATTATATCAGATTTCTTCACTTGGCTCATTCTATCGGAAGAGGTTTATCTATTTTTTGAGATTTTAAATTCGGTGAATGTAGATTTCTGGACCCCCAAAAAATCTAGCAAGTAGCTAAAAGCACACTTTCCTCGAATTTAATGAAGGAAATTAGGAAACTGGAACAAAGTGCGCCAAACACTCGCGTGATCACTGCTGACGAAAACTTTCTGACCAAAAGCAAACACTGCGCCTCCTGAACTTCGTTCAAAATGTTTTGACATCCCCTGGTCTTGGAAAGCAGCATCACTTGCCATTCCAAATTTTTCTTTTCTTTGCAGGAAATTAGATCATGACAGAAAAAAAGCTAACGAGGTTCAAAATAAAGCGACCGCGTCATGTGGATCAGTTTTCATGCAAGTTACATGCGTTGTCTTCGTGAAAATAATGCCCGAAGAGCGGAGAAAATACGGCAGAAGCGTATCGAAAATTTCCGCACGATTATTCAAAGCTAAAAATACATCAACTGACCATCCCGAAAAACAAAATCGCGATAAATCACAGGACAATTTAAAAGCCGTTGCTTGAAAGAAATTAATTTGCTTTTGATGGAATTGGCACAACAGCTTTTCGCTGTTTTTCAAGAATTTTACAGTATCCTCGAACGGCACAGAATATCCTTTCGTTTCGAAAATCTCGGGATACGAAGGGTTCAGGGCTTTCGCGAGACTTGCTGATTACTAGTGCAGTATCCACACCATTTTATGCCTCTTGTAAGCACAAAAAATAATAAAATGAACAACAACCTCAACCAAATACAACAATAAGCTATGCGTGAACGAGGGCGGCTTCTCTAGCAGTAACAGGATCCCCTCATCACCTCGAATATCACAATTGGGCTTTCCTGATGCTATGAAAACCTTTGTTGACTATGACAAGGTGCAATCATGATTTGATCCGCAACCAAATAAAAATATGAAGGCCCTGGGTTTCATTGAACCGGATAGATGGACACGTATTTCTTGTTATGCTCTTTTTAGATCTTCTGATTCAACAGCTTAGCGCTGACGTGGCTTCGTTGAGGACAGAGATCAGATGACGAACATCTTCTTCGACATGGTGACTGGCTAAAGCAATCCGAATGCTCGGCGCGGGACAAAATTTCTCCTCCTTCTCCAAATAAGTCGCTGTCACGATCGCGATTGCCTTTTCTTCCACCTTAAACGTAAAATTAGCGTCAAAAACAAAAATAAACAACCAAGAAAAAAAAGACAATACACAATATTATACTCGAACCTATAAAAAATCGGAATGGACGAAATTTCAATATTCACCATCTTCACGACGCTCTGAAGGAAGTCTTCGGGATCGTCATGATCTTTCGCATACAAATGTTTGATTGGTGAGTTCGGAGAACTATGCTTTGATTGCTCCAAATCTAACAATAGTTCATTAAATAAAGAATGTGCGGTTTTGCAAATGTTTTCAAGATGCAACAAAGCTTCTTTGCCGGCGTTTGACTCCAAGAAGCTGAAGGAGGCCATGGCGCCAGCTGCCAACAACGGTGGTAATGAGGCCGAGAAACAATAACCTGAAAAACACAGTAACTCTTGGAATTATTTTCGGAGTAAAATAAGACCAGTTAACGAACCTAATCCAGATAATCGTTGGTGATCTACCACATACGAAGATCCAACGCAAAATCCTCCAAGGGAACCAAGGCAGTATTCTAATGATCCGCAGATAAGATCCGCTTCATTCACCTGAAGTTGAGAATAAATTGTGAACTGATGAATCATGATTCTGACGCACTTTCACGGAATCCGGTGCAGTATTTAAAAAGTCTAACTTTGACCTTCAATTCAGCAAGGACATTAGGGTTCGTAGAATATTTTAAAGTATCATACAAATATACAGGCAACTCACCGACATGTTGAAGAATTCAAAAACACCCCGTCCTGAAGCTCCTAAAACTCCAATGGAAAGGCATTCGTCGACAAAAAATCGCAATTTGTACTTCCTTTTCAGCTCGACCAACTCGGGTAAGGGACATATGTCACCTGAGTTCATGTACAGCGCTTCAACAATTAAGAATTTTCGCGTGACAGCTGCTTTTTTAGGATCCTGAAACAAAGAGGCATGTTGAAAACAATTCAATTTCGCAGTCTGGCACGAACCTACTCGCAGATCAGCCTTTGCCTGAGACTCAAGAAGTTCTTCCAGATGATTCATATCGTTATGACGAAAGAAAATGATATTGCTCCTCGAAGCATCCAGGCCCTTCTGAATGGCGAAGTTGACGTTCATGTCACTGATTAAAAAATATATTCTCAGTCGATATCCAGCTCAAGATTTGAAAATTTCGTCACTTACGCAAAAATTATATCACCCCGCTTCGCATACGCAGGTATCGCACTAGCGATCGTCGCAAAGCTATAAGAATACAAGACGGCTTCCTCGCAGTGCATGAACTTGGCAATCATATCCTCTAAATCCAAGTGAACATCTGTGAATGTAAAACAGAATGATTTAGAAAGCGTAAGCTGATGATTTTTTTTCACTTATTCACTAACCGGTAGTTCCATAAAATCCTCTAGGCCCACAAGAACCTACACCGTATTTCTCCAGACATTTTATTGCAGCTAATTCAACATCCGTGTTTCCGATTAGCCCTAAATAATTGTGGGTTGAAAAATTCAAGCAGTCGCGCCCGTCCACTGTGACAGTTTTCATTGCCTGAAAATAAAGTGAAATTGCACTACGCTTCATAAAAGCTTTGCGTACATTCATACTTTTCCTGTCACAATTCTGGGATGTAAAGCAGGATGCATAGGGTCAACGGGAGGGACTAGTGGCTCAGGCTTCCACTCGGCTATCAATTCGTCTTTTTCCTGAACAAAAATAGAAGACGGCCAACATAGAGTTACGTAATCGAACACTTCTCAGCTTGAAATACCGCTTCGGTAAGAATAACTCGATCCTTCGGACTGTGACTTTTCCTGAACAGCAGTCGCAGAACCCAAATAACCAACAAGGCTTCAAGAACCAAGTGATACACCGGCGCCTGAAATGACGATTATTTTTGTAATGAACGAAAAAATGCAAAATTCATGGCTTACATTATACAAGGCTTCAATCATGGGAAGCATACTGATTCAATCGTTGGACAAGCAGGTAGCACAAACTTCGAAGCCTGTAACACAGGTTTCAGTTCCGTGACATTTTCTTTGGAAAAATTCACACACTGTTTTCGCAAATCCAATCTCTAAACCACTGCGCGCACCGTGGGTGATGAAAGTCTTACCGGATGAAACCCTTGGGAGCCGCCATGACATAAAATCGCCAATCGAAACTTACACAGATACTTTCATACCCCACGGGTACGATTGCGTTTTCAAAGCTGACTATTTATTGGTTCTTTGAAGCATTTGCGGTTCGCATATTATCGATCAATTCAAATTGTGATGTATAATTCTTATTTCGCGTGACATGAAGCAAAAAAATTAAATTTCAAACCTTCCCTGCATAAGGATGCGTGCTTGTCACTGCCTGCAGTGGCTGCTGTATGCTGAAGAGATAAAATCAAATTTCAAAAGTGAACTTTCTATATCCTATATGAAGCGTAGAAAGGTGTGTAAGAAGGAAACTTTAAAAGCCAGAACTATGTTAAAATACAGTACTTTTTTTAAACCTTCATACAGGTACATTATTACTGAAAACATAGAAAGCACAGTTCACAGATCGCAGAGAATAAATAAGTGCTGACAAGGATCTTTGACTAATCCTCAATATTTGGGTTTAATTAAAATTTAATAAATGTTTTCCACTCATACACTGTACAATTTTCTCAGGAGATTTCCTTCTTGTAGTGGCTTTTATCCAGAAGACTGAGAATACACAGCACAATACAACAGCTGAAAGTATTTTGTGGGGATGTTATACCTGTGCATACTTTTAGAAGTCAGAAATGAGGAAAAATATGTATTTTGTTAGGACGGGTACAAAACTTGAATTGAATTGAGCGTTGTTCAGACATAGCACAGCTTTTTATGCATTTTTAAATCAATGACTGATCTGATTATCAGAGCTTTATTTATTGGATCTCATACAATTGTTCCTCATATCTTAATAATTAAACTTTTAGTTTCTTTTCACCTATACTTGGAAGCTTTGCTTATTATGGTGAGCCTTGATGTATAATCAAGAATACAGCTGATTTGTCATAAGTGCAGAGAAATTCAAGGCTGTACACGGATGCTGACAAAATCTTTGGAATTTCAGCCACTAAACTTTTTTTGGAATTGGGATGAGATTTTTTTTTACAAATTTTAAGCAGGTAAATCAAGGTGGCTGTCTTATTTGAGCACACATACGTATGATGTTCTTGAGTAAATAATGCTGAGTCCATAACTATATAATCCTGTAAAAATTGCTAAATAAATTCATAAAATTGTATCATCTCTAAATTTTAGAAGAAGCAAAGTAAAATTCAACATCCTTCAGTCATTGCATCTCAATCAAGATGAAAGAAAAAGACACCATACAATCATTCTCAAATTGCGCCCCTTCATTTCGTATTTCGCACAAACGCAGAACCATTTTTCATCCGGACGGATTCGTTGCCAGCAAACATCAGAATTGAAACAGCATTTCATCCCTTCACTCAAAAAAAAAAAACTTTTGTACAACACAAAACTCGTTGCGTCTCATCGACACTCTTCTCTTTTACTCTTACAACTTCCCCTTTCGTTTCCGCCCCTCTCAGAACGATTTCTATCACAGGGAATGATTTCGGCACGTTTTACTCTAGTCATCATCAATCAACAAACTTAAGCATTCGTAAAAAAACAAAGCCTCCCGAAAATAGGGTTTGTCACTATGATCAGCGAAGAATTGAAAACAAAAATATCTGGACTAAAAAAGGCTTTCGATTTAACATAAAAGAGATCATCGATGCATGCCTATCGAATGACAAAGGCAACGAAAAAAAAAGACGAAGCTGAATCCTGCTGAAATATTCTTTTGCTGTATCCAGGAAAACCCAAAATTTCTTTTTCAGCGTCTCGAATTTAATGGTATACGACCAAAATTTCTTGGATGCTGAAGAAATTGTTGATCGAAGCATGCAAAACAGTCAGTCGATCAAATTGCAGGTGAAAAAAAAGCCCTGATTCGTCGAGCATTGGCATATAGCATGGTTCTATATATAGGCATTGCCTAATTTTCTTTAAAGTTTATTTCACTATCAAAAGCACATGACGACTGAACTCAAAAGACGATGATGAGAGAAGATCGACGAGCGTTGAATTAATTGTTCAACTGAAGTTATTTTGCAGGCTGGAAGAAGCGAGGCCCAGTGGAGGTGGTCGCTTTCGTCTCCACCGACTGCTGGTGTTTTTCCGCTGGCTTTTGCAAGTGTACACCTCCTTCATCTTCGAGCAGGTCTCGCACTGGACTTGACAGCACCAGATGAACTTGCAGTTGCAACGCTCTGTGTAGCTCACTGTGGTCGTGTCGTATCCGCGTCCGCAGCACAAGATGTCGCAGCTGTCCGGGCCGTCCGAGTCCCGCTTGCACTCCCGTCCTGTCGTCCCCAATGAACCTGTGAATTAAAATCATATGATTAAATTCAGGCCTCATCTCAGGGGTTTTTGTTGTTTTTTTTTAGGTTCAATAATGCACAGTAGTGAAAACATAGTGCTCAGTTTCTGGAAGTGTTTGAAAAGGAAGACTTTTTTGAGTTGAATGTGATTTCCCTCAAGTTGTACAGTAGGTGAACCTTGATAAGTGTGATAAAGAATTACAAAAGGAGGCAAAAAAGGTGAATCATCCAAAAATAAAACACATCATTCAGCTGTGGGGTTCAGCTGGGGATTTCCTTAAGGAAATCCCAAAAGATAAAAATATAATTGCATTTCTTTACCCCAAATTAATTCACAGATCACAAAAGATTTGAATCACACAATCAAAGTAACAGATTGATTTCACATAGAAAATTGGATACACAGGTAAAATCAAATTCACCCATAACACATGTAAAAAGTGGGAGATCCATGCTAATCTTGTAACGGTTGGTGCCAGACTGTCTTGCATCTCAGGGGGGGGGGGGGAGAGTACTTTCCTCCCTCCCAAGAATCCGTGTCTTGGAATATTCTTGAATGTTCTAAAACATTCTCAATTACGTGAGAGAATGAAAAGTGCGTGACATCATGGGCAGTCTAATTATTCCATCACAATAAGTCAAACCTTGCTAAGTCAAACCTTGCTAAGTCAAATTCCTCCCGAAGTTGAATTCTTTTTCAAGTCCCTGTTCTGAATTCCATTAGAATCAATACATTATAAACCTCACTAACTTGAAGCGTTATTCTCTAAAACCTCTTTATAAGTCAAATTTTCTGAGACCTTTTGGTTATTATTTCCTTGAAATATGAAGGAGAAAATGATTATAACAAATAATTTGATGCATCTTGAAAGGAAGTGGAGAAGGCAAATATAGCAAATGAACCCCATTAAGGAGCAAGTTTAGGCCTAGAATATCCTCATTTATGATTTCCCACACTTTTTTCACTTCTCTCCTCACAACAAAGTGTATTTTTCCTCAACTGGAAACCTCCAAAAACCAAAACCTCTGTAAGTCAAATTTTTTCCTGGTCCCTAGAAATTTGACTTACAGAGGTTCAACTGCAAATGAAAACTTGTTTATCTATTCCTGACAATTAAGTCCTGACATTCACAAAACATACCAACAGAGCTTAAATATTCATAAAATATTTATTATATCATGCATGCACAAGTTTGCAGGATTTGAAACCTATTTACGTGAAATTTCAGTAATTTTGAAAATTTTAAACTCAAATTTTTAAAGTAACAGATGTTTGGACTATGAAATACAGCAATTAAAACTCCACCTTTATTTTGTCTTTTATTGATTGATTAGTGACTTCTTTGAGGGAATTTTTTATGCAGAAAATTTGTTAAAAGATTACTGTAATTAGAAAATCTTCCAACAACTTTTTAAATTAGATTTTTATACCTGAGTCATTTTTAATGCACCAACCATCACAGAGCATAAGAAAAATTGAAAAAGAACTGACAGTCAATATTTGAATGATAGACCTTCCTTATTGAACAAGTTTGTATCTTTTTTAGTCTCAATCCTCAAAAACGTTAAAATCATTCAGAATTTAAGAAATGTAAACGAGCTTAACGTTTATTAGAGTCATGCCTAATGTCGTGATAAAACGTTCGCCATGCTTTGGAAAATAAGTTGAATAAACAATTCATCCGGTACCATGTCTTCTCTGAATCGTGTTCTTCGATTCGCAACATATACAACTCGACTCCTCCTCCTTTTTTTTCCTCTTCAGAAAAGAAGAATCGTTCGATATTAAAATGAATAAAAAAAACGAAAAATAAAACAAGGTTTTGTTACGTGAACTGACCCTCCTACATTCCGGGCATCGCGATTTATCGTCAAGTGCTTCTTGCGAAACCCGGGGTTCCTCCTAAAATTCCCTTTTATTGCTGCGAAAATGCCACCGACTCGCAAACAGGGCCTCCGAATTTCTAATGGCATTTTTGGTTGCTCAAATTTTGATTCGTCGTTCAAAAGCTCGCCCTTTCAAGGTTTGAAAGTGAATATTAAGAAAAACAATCTTATTGCACTGATAAATTGAGCCATTAGAGCGAAAATATTTGAAATATTTACAGAGCCTAAGCATTTTATTTAGAATACCTGTAAAAATGTCTGCACTGAAATTACCATCAATGATAATGCAGGTGGTACCTCGCAATCCAACCTCTTGCAATTTGACCATCCTGCAATTCACTGTTCAAATTTGTTGGGAGATGAACACTCAATTTAACCTCTGCCATGCAATTTGACATGTAGGAAGATATGAAACATCGAATGCCATGTAGAAAACATGCTATTTGATATTGTCTTGCAATTTGACCACTTTTCAATATGACCTTAGTCCAGCAAGGGATTAGGGTTGAATTGTGAGGTACCACCTGTACAGTATTAATTGCGATACTTTCCACATTGGTGAAATTTGATATTTTTCATTTAAACAGCAAGAGTTGAAATTTCCTGAATCAAATAATTGGAATAATCAATGCTATGTTTCAACTGAACCTAATGCAGAATGATGGTCAGTGTTCTTTCAGTCCACCTACCACAGAATAGAACTATTAGGTAAAAATTATTATATTATTGTGCTTCATTCTTAGTTTCTTACTAGAATATTCGGGCCGTGATTTATCTAGTTCAAAGAAACACTATTTAAAAAAATGTAGTG